AGATGATGGTACAGGGTTTGAGAAGGATGGTACTTCCTTGTTGCACCTGCTAAATAGTGACTGAGCGAGTAAAATGTGGTTATTGTTGTGGTTGGTGTTGGCAGTGGTCTTGGATGGCAATTATTTTATAATGTCAAGAAAGAAAATATGAACATAAACCATTGAACCATTACTCTCATTTCTGGGAGACAGAACCTCTTGAAAGTCTCAAAGTGTCCACTAAACTCCAAAATTGCATAATGTCCATTTACACAATTGAATAAGTGCTGCCGTCTAAGCCTTTTATTAAGGCTATTAAATTCATGAGTGAATATGAACACCAAACTATATATTACCTGGGTTAAAAAGCGGGGGAGGAGGGAGAAGGGAGGTTAAATGCAGTTATATCTGATAGTCAATGTTGTCTGAAGGAGATTGTGGACTTTCCTTATAAGAAATGAAAGAATTGATGAGATGTTTGCTTTAAGGAATTCATTAAAAGTAGTATGACTAGTGGTATAATAGATTTGGATCCATTAACTTATAGCTTCTTTTACAGCCTACTTAAATTACTTGTTTCTTAAGACCTTCCCTGGTAAATTCTGTTGAATAGTGTCAGCCAATATCCAGATTCTTGCATCTTGTTCCTCATAGATATTGCCTCGGGACTCATTCTGATTTAAGCCGAGTGTTAGTTCTTGTTTTACAAAACTTGGAAACCAAGTTCAACAAACGTTGAACAAACAGATGTTTCAACAATTCTTCCTCAGTTAGTAGAGTCAAAATTTTAAGAAAAAACATGGAAATTAGAATTAGAAATGAAATCTCAAATAATATCCCTCTTGTTATTAGGGTAAGCATAGGAACTTCTGGGCTTCCCTGGTGGCGCAGTGGTTGAGAGTCCGCCTGCCGATGCAGGGTATGCGGGTTCATGCCCCGGTCTGGGAAGCTCCCACATGCCGCGGAGCGGCTGGGCCCGTGAGCCATGGCCGCTGAGCCTGTGCGTCCGGAGCCTGTGCTCCGCAACGGGAGAGGCCACAGCAGTGAGAGGCCCGCATACAGAAAAAAAAACAAAACCAAAAACAAAAAACCATACGAACTTCTGTTTCTCATCTTGGTCTTTAAATTCTCCATGATCTGGTCCAGCTTTTCAAGATAAGTGAAAAATTCATTTGCCTCCTTGTGGTTACCTATGTTGTTCTCCTTCTATTCTAGTTTTACCCATTTTGCAAGGGTGAAGTCCATGTTGTGTTTACCTTTCTCTTCTCCCGAGGTACTTATTGTTCATACCACACATTTTGTATATACCTTTTCAGTATGCTTTTTGCCAAGTTGGTTTGTGCTCTGTAAATACCAGTTAAAATGAAATGCACAATTAAGGCAATTAAGGGTAACTTTCAAAACACTAGTTATTGATTATGGGCACTAATATAGAGTATCAGTAACATGATCAATACCAGTGTCTTTTTATTTTGGGATATGTTATGTACCTCTATAGACATACCAAGCTAATTTTGTGTTATTTAGAATAATATTTAAATTGCTTTCCACTTTCTAAGGACCCTTTAGATGACTGAAGTGTGCAAAATACCCTTTTAAGTACGGGGTAGCTGGAGGAATCAAGTGTAGGATTTCAACATGTACTGAAAATAATTCTTAAAGTCAATAATCTTTTAAGTATTGTAATTGAGTTGACTATATTTGGCATGATGATTAACTTTTTCTAAATAATTGAAGGTCTAGAAAGGGGAAATTGTTATTTTTATGTTTAATACATGCAATTAGTTTATAGACTTTAAAAAACAGGCTCCTAACAATTTAAGATAATTTATTCAAGGAAAACTGTTGATCACTCTAATGATTTTCAATCTAAAATTTTTAAAAACCACTGCAATATGGTAGAAAGTACATTTAATTAGAATTAAATGGCCATATTCCAATCCTGGCTCTGCCAAATGATATTGGCCAACTCAGTTAACCTCCCTGTGCCTTATAACCTTTTATAAAAGTAGGGTCTGAACTGAACAACCTCTGAGATCATTTCTGGTCCCAGCGTTCTCTGATTTTAAACATTTAAAGCAGCCTAATGGAAAATGAGATAGCAGTTGCATGCTTTTATTTTTGGCAGTTTTTTGTTTGTTTGTTTTTTCTTTGTTGTTTTTGGCAGAGCTTCTTGACATACTGTATTTTAATTATTGAAGTACAGTATGTGTAAATAATGAAGACATTGTAATTTTAATAAATTTAAAATTCTTACTGTTGCTCATATGTTTATTGAGTATACATATGAGCAACAGTATCTGCTTTTCAGAAGCTTATCATCAAGGATACTGTAGGGGAGAGGGAGAGATAAATTAGGAGTTTGAGATTAACATATACACACTACTATATATAAAATAAACAAAAAGGACCTACTGTATAGCATAGGAAACTATATTCAATATCTTGTAATAACCTATACTGGAAAAGAATCTGAAAAAGAATAAATATAAATATACATATATAACTGAATCACTTGCTGTATACCTGCAAGTAACACAACATTGTAAGTTAACTATACTTCAATTAAAAGAATGGATAATTTAGGGCTTCCCTGGTGGCACAGTGGTTGGGAGTCCGCCTGCCGATGCAGGGGACGCGGGTTCGTGCCCCGGTCTGGGAGGATCCCACGTGCCGCGGAGCGCCTGGGCCCGTGAGCCATGGCCGCTGGGCCTGCGCGTCCGGAGCCTGTGCTCCGCAAAGGGAGAGGCCGCAGCACTGAGAGGCCCGCATACCGGACAAAAAAAAAAAAAAAAGAATGGATAATTTAAAAAAAAGAATACTGAAACTGTCTTTTAAGGTTGGAAAAAAAAGGCAATATACTGGTTTTCTTGATTGGTGTCCTTTTCTACAGATATGAGCAGCAGAGACAACTAAGATCTATGCTGATATCTTGATACAGGGAAGGGTTGGAGTCCAGCTCAGCTGGTCATACATATGATGTTTCATTTTTAAAAATTTTTTAATTTTAGAAAGTTTCTTTTTTCATATATATATATTTTATTTTTAATTTTATTTATTTAGTTATTTATTTTGGCTGCGTTGTATCTTCGCTGCTGCTCGCAGGCTTTTCTCTAGTTGCGGCGAGCGGGGGCTACTGTTTGTTGAGGTACGCGGGCTTCTCATTGTGGTGGCTTCTTTTGTTGCAGAGTACGGGCTGTAGACGCGTGGGCTTCAGTACTTGCGGCATGCTGCGCTCAGTAGTTGTGGCTCATGGGCTCTAGAGCGTAGGCTTAGTAGTTGTGGCGCATGGGCTTACTTGCTGCACAGCATGTGGGATCTTCCCGGACTAGGGCTTGATCCTATATCCCCTGCACTGGCAGGCAGATTCTTAACCACCGCGCCACCAGGGAAGCCCAGAAGCTCTGTTTTAATTCCAGGGAGGAAGAGATTGTGTTCTTTTGTTGGATGTGTTCTTTTCATTGGCCTACAGCTGCATCAGGACTTTTGCTATGGCAATGCTCAGAGGAGAGCTCTAACAAGGCCTTTCAAAAAATGACATCTAAGGTTGTATGTCAAACTGGTTTATTGCTTTTTAAGTTCAGTGACTTTGGGTGTTTACAGCACAGATTTAAATTATTTAAATATATAGATATTAAATTTTCAAGATAGGAAGGGCATTACTGTTTATGGAGCATTTACTATTGCCAGTACTGTGCTAGTTACATTGTATTCATTCTTATTTTCATCCAGTCAAAAACTTATGGAGAAGTATTAGTTCACTTTTATAGACAGGAAAATCGAGACTCAGAGAGTCAAATAGCTTGCCAGTAAATGGGAGTGTTTAGGATTAAATCTGCTGTTTATTTTTTAATTTTTATTTTTTTGCGGTACACGGGCCTCTCACTGCTGTGGCCTCTCCCATTGCGGAGCACAGGCTCCGGACGCGCAGGCTCAGCGGCCATGGCTCACGGGCCCAGCCACTCCGTGGCATGTGGGATCTTCCCGGACCGGGGCACGAGCCCATGTCCCCTGCATCGGCAGGCGGAATCTCAACCACTGCGCCACCAGGGAAGCCCTGCTGTTTATTTTTGACCATGCTGTGTTAATAAAAGTCATGTGCCTTTCCGACATATTACATGCATATAATTACTCTCCTGCTTAGATAATTTTATGTTAAATATAGTACCATGGGGCTTCCCTGGTGGCGCAGTGGTTGAGAGTCCGCCTGCCGATGCAGGGGACACGGGTTCGTGCCCCGGTCCGGGAAGATCCCACATGCCGTGGAGCGGCTGGGCCCGTGAGCCATGGGCGCTGAGCCTGTGCGTCCGGAGCCTGTGCTCCGCAATGGGAGAGGCCACAAAGCGAGAGGCCCGCGTACCGCAAAAAAAAAAAAAAAAAAATGTTAAATATAGTACCATGAAAAGAAATAAATCTGGTTCTTAAAACTTAAAGATATTTTATTTCCTTATTTTCTTTACATACTGCTTAGAAATAATTATGTTCACTGGTGAGTTTGCACATGAGCTAACTGCCTTGTATTTTACAGTTAGGTAGTGGATTTCAAAAAAGATTTTGAGATGTTTTGCTTTATTACTGATCACTATGTCCGAGGCTGGGGCCAAGGTTAATTTTTAAAAGTGGTGCTAAGATTAAAAAAAAATCCAGATAAAGATTTTAAGAAAAATTCCAGTTAAGGATTTAATGGGGAAACTTACCCTATATATTGAAGTCTCATTGCAGAGGAAAATAAGCTTTTAATTTGAACTTTTCTTAGTTATTTAAAAGAGGAGCAATGTGGTAAAACCTGGGTACAATAAATGAGTATCTTTGCTTATTCTGGTCTTTGATTCTGTTTAGTTAATATATTTCTTTCCCTTCCCCCACTGGAATATGATACAGTCTCATTCCACTTTATAGAAATTTGGCACCTTTTCTTATCACAGGATTTGACAAATGTTTACACTTTCATGTGCCATTACCACTGTAATAAGGCTAAATTTATGTTTATTTTTAATTTTTTTTTTTTTTTACATATATTTAGAACCTGTTAAGAGTCAGTTCTTGCGAAAAAACATTGAGCCAGGAGCCAGACCCACCTCTTCACTAACTGATCTTGTGCAAGTCATCTTACCTCTCTGGATCTCAGTTGCCTGATCTGTAAAAAGGAGATAAAAATTCTTTACCTGTTTGAAGGTAAGTGATCAGTTAAGAAAGCAAAAATGAAAACAGACTTGGTGGCTTCAACATAAAATATTTATTTTCTCATGTAAAGTAATTCTTGAAGTAAGCAGCCTAGGATAGGTGTAGTAGCTTCATAAAGTCATCAGGGACCTAAACTTTTTCCAGTTCTTTGATCTGCTATTCCTAAGATGTGGCCCTGGTCCTCGTAGTCCAAAATAGCTGCCAGAGCTCTAACTGTCAAAGCAGAGTTCCAGGCAGCAAGGCAAAGACAAAGAAGGATGCATCCTCTCCCTTTAAGGAGATTATTCTGAACCAAAGCTCAGGCTACCAGGGAAGCAGGGAAATGTAGCTGAATACATGGCTGCCCTGAGTAAAACTGGGCTTTGTTATTGAAGAGGAAGGGAAGATTTGGATATTAGCTGGGAAATAGAAGTATTTGCCACAATATGGATCTTTTTCTCTTTCATCTCTGATATCTGTAAGCTGTGATAACCACTCAGAGAAGCTTCAGTAATTTGCCATGGCAGAGCTCTAAGTCTGACCATTGTCTCTAGAAGGAAATAACTTTCATCTAATACATTGTTTTTCTTTTGTTATGTTTATCCCATGATTCATTATAGAAGGCTTTCTGTCTTGATTGGGTATTTGTTCTGGTTATTTTTTAAAAATTACCCATAAATGTTCAATAGTAGATGTTGGTTGTATAGCTAACATTTATTGAGCCACTTGCTTTATGCAAAATACTAAAAAGACAGAGATAAGTTATCCTAAGAGTATCACATAATAAGTCATCAGGAAGTAAATTTATGTTGAAAAGTGTAATCCACCTTAAGATACATTTAAATTCAATGTTGTCACGCAATGAACATTTTTATCTTTCTTCTTGGTTAAAAGTTGTGGTTTTTTTTAAAACAACTTAACTGTTAACTGTCTTGAAATTTCCTCTTACTTAACTACTAGCCCTTGCTTAACTTACTTAGGTATACCAATATTTTATTTCCTTCCAGACCTTTTTGGGTAAATATTATGTAAATATACCCTATACTTGTCACATGAAATGATTCAATTGCCATTATATCTGTAAAGAAAGTGAATTGAAATAAAGTTTTGAGAAAAGGAAACTGAAATTCAGGAAATGGAAATTGGATGGGGGAAGAACCTAAAGATTCAGTGAATCTTTTAAGAATATTAGAAGGAATATAAGGAGCAAATTAAGACATTTAGCATTGTAAGTCACCTGACTGAAAACGTCTTATTTGCTGAATACTATTTTAACGCCTTAAATTTTTTTCAATTAACAGAAAGGATCATGCTACATGTTGCTTTGTAAGCAGCATTTTTCAAATTGCAATTGTTTACTTAATAGGCTGCCTTCCACACTAGATTGAAAACTCTGTGAGGGTAGGGACCATGTCTATCTCACTTACCTTTGTATCCAGCATAATGGCTGGAATATAGTGAGTACTTAGTAAATATTTGTTAAATTAGTAAATAGCATACAACAGTTTAAAGAAAACATACTTCAATTCAGTCTAAATTTAACAGGAATAGGAGTAAAAGAGGAGGGTTGAGGGAGGGAGAAGGAGATGGATGAGGGAGGAAGAAGAGAAACAAAAGGAAAGAGAGACAAACTAGTTTCAGTTTTTTGTACTCTTCACACTTCTCACCCATGACCATGCTTTTTAATCACTTCCAGGGTTTTTCTCCTTACAAACAAGCGAAACAGGAAACTCTTGAGAAACACACACACACACATACACACCACAAGTAAACTTAATCTGGATAATTACTGGTACGCATCAGTAGTTGAGAAATGTGCCTCTGTTTATGAATGGGAATTTTGATTTGGTGGAGACAGGGAAGGAGAGTTACACTTACTTTTAGGACTTGGACATTTAGGGAAATTATTTTGTATCTACTGCATGTTAGGAGAGGCTTAAGAACTCTGCTTTTTTTTTTTTTTTTAATTTTGGCTGTGCTGGGTCTTGTGGTGCACGGGCTTCTCTCTCGTTGCGGCGCACAGGGTTAGTTGCCCCACGGCATGTGGGATCTTAGTTCCCCAACCAGGGATTGAATCTGTGTCCCCTGCATTGGAAGGCAGATTCTTAACCACTGGACCACCAGGGAAGTCCCAAGAACTCTGCTTAGTTTTTAATTTTTCTTTCTTTTTTATTTTTTCGGTACACGGGTCTCTCACTGCTGTGGCCTCTCCCGCTGCGGAGCACAGGCTCCGGACGTGCAGGCCCAGCGGCCATGGATCACGGGCCCAGCCGCTTCCCGGCATGCAGAATCCCCCCGGACCGGGGCACGAACCCGCGTTCCCTGCATCGGCAGGTGGACTCCCAACCACTGCGCCACCAGGGAAGCCCTATTTTGTAATTTTTCTTGAGGCTCTAATGCCTTTGGGATCAGTGCTTTCCATGCTGTCTTTTTTTTTTTTTTTTAATTTATTTTCTGGCTGTGTTGTGTCTTTGCTGTGCGCATGCTTTCTCTAGTTGTGGTGAGTGGGGGCTACTCTTCCTTGTGTTGCGTAGGCTTCTCATTGCGGTGGCTTTTCTTGTTGTGGAGCACGGGCTATAGGCATGTGGGCTTCAGTAGTTGTGGCTCGCAGGCTCTGGAGCGCAGGCTCAGTAGTCATGCGGCAAGGACTTAGTTGCTCTGCGGCATGTGGGATCTTCCCGGACCGGGGATCGAACCCATGTCCCCTGCATTGGCAGGCGGATTCTTAATCACTGCGCCACCAGGGAAATCCCTCCATGCTGTCTTGAGATGACTGCCTGATTTAGAATTTCACATTATCCTACTTCAGAGCGTTAATTTTCAGTCTATCCTGGTTTGGATCAGTCTGCTGTGTCAGCCAGCTAGTTTGGCCCAGTATTTCCTCTTTAGTACTCTGTTCTTATGGAAGAAGAGAGTGATCAAAGAAAGGAGAAAGTCATTCTTACTAACCTGAGAGTGGAAGAGAAGTAAATTAGTCTCCCTTTCTTTCCATTGCCTCTCCTTATCGTTCATCTCTCCTTCTTTTGTATGGACATTTGTATATTATTGGGTTAATGAAAATCTGTAAACCTATCTTTGACACATTTGACATTATCTTGGTATTTAAAGACATCTTTGTATCGTTACTTTTCTAACTAATGAGCTAGAAAAATTTTCATTTCTTCTGTTATAACAGTTAACATTTATTGAGGGCTTATTAAGGAGTAATGTTTTAATTAACTTTAGACTTCAGTAAGTTAATTGTCCTAATTATTCCTAGAATAAACAGTAAAAGATTAGAAACTAATAGAAGGGAAAAATGTATTTTAAGCATTCCTCATCAGTCAAAAACAGAATTTAAAAAAACAGGCAAGGAGAGGAGATAAATATTAAAGAGGCAGCATAAATAGAAAGCCCAAAAGAAGATGGTGTTTCATCAACTCTAAGACTCCATTGATATTAAGACACCAGTTTATACTATATAGAACACATACTGCCAGTTAAACTATTACACTGTTTTATCACTTATAATTTCATTTTGTGTTTACCGAAAGTGCTTTTTAAGATTCATTTAAACATATAGATTTTTCTCACATCACTTTTGCAGATACATAAAGAAATTACAAGTTAAATAAATTGGTTAAGGTATTTCTAAGACTTTTTCATATTCATAATCTGAGTCTTTTGAAATGCTTTCTTGATTCAGAATTGTGAATGTTTGTGTTTTCCCACACGACATTGTTCTCTCTACTATGAAGAGTGAGGGTAATTTTATTCTGGGAATTTCTTTCAGACCATTTGCCTGGAATTTTCTTCCAAGCCTCTGACATTCATTTTGCAAGCTTTGATGCCAGTGCTTTTCAAAAGATGACAATGGAAAGTTGTCAGATTCATCTTCTTTCCTCAACCTCTCCTTCAGTGGTTTATTGACTAAAATGTTGAGGGGTTATAGTTTGTCTAGACATGGCATCAGGAATAACATCAAGTTGTGATACCTTTCCAGCAAGCTATTCCTTTTTTTTTTTTTTTTTTTTTTTGGGGTACGCGGGCCTCTCACCATTGTGGCCTCTCCCGTTGCGGAGCACAGGCTCCGGACGCGCAGGCTCAGCGGCCATGGTTCACGGGCCCAGCCGCTCCGCGGCATGTGGGATCCTCCCAGACCGGGGCACAAACCTGTGTCCCCTGCATCGGCAGGTGGACTCTCAACCACTGCGCCACCAGGGAAGCCCCCAGATTATTTTTAAAACAATCCCAGGCATCATGTACGCAGCCTCAGAATGCATCAAGAACTAAACTCATACCCTTGGCAGACCATGAAAGGCTCTTGGACATTTAAACCAGATTTAGCTAGCCTTCCTTTAACTCAGCCATAATCCCTCTTTTACATATACAGTAATGTTTTTGGGAAATGCTTTTGTAGTTTAAAATTTAATATGGCAGCAACTTTTGGCCATAGGTGCTTATGCTAGTGTTTCAGTGATATGCTATTCCCTATGTAACCCATTCTCAGGATATCAATCTCTTTAGTACCTTTAGCATTAGTATATCATTTTGAGGCCTGTGAAGAACATCAGGATTTTTTCAGCATTTCCTATTGACTAAATTCAGCTTTGTTTCTTCGTCAGATTACATGGAAATTATGCAGCTTCTGTTTAGTCTTGATAGGAAATCTCTGACAAATTAACATTTGCCTTAACGATTCATGAATCCATCAAATCAGCCTCATGTTCTATAATTTTTTTTTTATTTATTGGAGGCATTGTCAGTTTCTACTGCCTTCATTTACATTGTTTGGCTGCTCATAGATAATATTGTTGCATCTCAAAATGTAAGGCAGCTTTGTCTATTTGTTGGTATCTTCCTGTCTAAAGTCAGGTGAAGGAAGCACTTATATGTTCCTTTACAAGAAAATGTAAAGTTGTTGTTATTCCTTTAACATCAAATATTTGCTTTACTAATATCAGCTGCTTCATTTCTATGTTTACAAAATTTTTCTTTTTTGGCCGCGAGGCTTGCGGTATCTCATTCCCCGA